CCCCCCGACTCCGGTCTCCCACCGCAACCGTGATAATGGCATTAAGAGGAAAAACTCAACCAAGGGAAAAACCCAGATACCAAAGAAAGTGGGAAGCAGGAGCGCAGGATGGGACTGTAATAAACCACTGCGCGCACCCCGACCGCCACCAGCGCCGGTAACGACACCCGCCGGCACAGCCCTGACCGCCGGAGCAGCCGCAGGTTCGGTTCCACAGCCTCAGCAGGATCACGCCGGCTGGGAAAGGGAGGGCTCACCTTTGCGGGCGATCCGGACACAGTTCAGACGGGTTTCCTATGGAGGGAAAAAAGGGGGGTCAGTGTCGGATGAGCATCCCAGAGGCTCCGCTCCCCGCTCCCACTCCAAGCGAGGCTGGGCAGACGTAAGGCTGGTCCGTCGGTGCTTTGACCCCCAAATCGAGGGAGCGTGCAGGTGATTTGTGCTGCAGCACCCGCTGCTGAGCCAAAGGAGCTCCTGGGGACACACACCCCAAGAGATGCTGCTGAATGATCTGTCCCCAGTGTCCCCTAAACCAGCGTCCCCAGGTTTAGCCGAGGCTATCGCTCCTGGCACAGAGGGGATGGCAAAGCTCAAGATCATCAAAGGAGGGACCAGCAGACCCAGCCAAGCCACAGGTCACCAGCGTGTCACTGACTACAGCTAAAACACTCCCAGGTCATCATTCAGAGCTTCGTGGGGTGTTTTTTCATCAATCAAAGTTTACAAGCCCCATCCCTGGTGCTCTGCACATGCTGCCAAGGTTGCCATGAGGGCTTCCAGCTCAGTTCTCCAACAGTTTTAGCATTTGCATTTTTAGGGATGGGTTCAGCTGAAATATTCCATTTTCTGTGTATCCAACTTCTGTTGCAAAATAAAAAGCACCATTTTGGCAGGACTGCCTTCTTCCCCGAGCATCCTCCAGCCCCTCAGGACACCAGTGCTGGCAACGCTGCTCCATCCGCCCTCGGACCGAGACCTGCCCACGCAGCGTGCCCAGGGCAGGGCCGGCTCCGGCACCGCTCTCCCCGAGGTCACCAGCTCTTGCTTCTCCTGCTTCTTGCTCCATCTGGCACAAAAACCATGAAAAACCCAAGCTGGGATCCAGCTTTTTCGCAATGTCTGACATCAGCCGGGACAAATCCATTGCCTCCCAGCAGGAAGGCTATAAAACAGCGTCAGCCACCAGTTATTATCCAGCAGTGCCCGAGCGAGCCAGAGCAGAGATCTTCCTCGTTCGTCTCGGCTCTAGTTACAATCCAGCGAGGTGTGAACAATCCCGGAAGGAGGAAAGGATTCAAAACCCGGCACCTTTCTGGCAACACGGAGCCGTGCAGGATGAGGACGCTGTCGCGGTCCTGCTGCTTCGCTTTCACAGCTCATCCTCCCCGGGGTGGGACGGGAGCTGCCGGAGCAGGTGAAGCCGAGAAGGGTCCTCAGGGGGTCCCAGCGGTCCCCGCCGGTGACTTGGAGGAAATCAGCCCCGGGGGGGGGATGCGGGGGCTGCTGCTGGAGCGGGGCTGTTGCGGCTTCGCCGAGAGAACAGGCGGCAGCAGGCAGGAAGAGGGCAGCCGGGAACTCGGCAGCTTCCCAGGAGCTCTCTGCAGCATCCGCTGCGTCTGCAGCGGGTCCCAGTAACACGCACATGGCTCTTGCTGCCCGAATGGTCCCTTTCCACCCCAGGATTAGCCCCAGGAAGGTGGTCTTCCCCGCACTAGCGCTGGTTGGGGTCCCGGCCGGTACCGCAGGGGGTGGCAGAGGCTGGCCTTCATCACCCCTGGCACTGGCACCAGGAGGGGGACGGGCACAGCCCGGGGGTGCCGGGAGGAAGGGGGACACCCATCCGTGATCCCAACGTGCCGTAAGGGTGGCCCGGAGCACCAGCTCCCCCCAGGCAGAACACTGGGGGTGAGCCCAGAGTGGGGGGGCCCAAGGGAGGGGGATCTAAAACAAGTCCCATTTTTTCTGACCCCACCCCCCGGACCCGAGGTGTGCTCCTGCCTGGTCCAACCGGGACCCCAGACACCCCACCAGATGGAGCAGGGTCCCCCAGCTACTCACCCCTTTGAGGTTGCTCATGGCTTGGAAGTAGATGAGATACGCCTTCTTGGGCTCCAGCGGTGGGTTCCAGTAGCCGCTGTAGGTCTGGTTGTCCCCCACGGTGAAGGGTTTGGCTTCGGTGAGGCTGCTGGCAGGCAGCTCGGCCCCAAAGTAGTGTACAGAGCCACGGGACATGGCGTCATCGAAGGTGAGCGGCACCGGGAAGCACTCCTGCCCACCCAACTCCCGCTTGAGCTTCTTGGGCCGGTCTTCTTCTACGATGACCTGGTAGGTGCTGGTGAGGGCCATGCACAGGTTAGCTTCGTGAAAAAGGATGGTCCTGCCCTTCCCTTGGTGCTCGACCCCACCGCCCATGCCGTGCCACCCCATTTCTGGGAGTCTTTTGCCCTTGCGCAGCCCCAACCTACCTGATGGGAGCCCCTCTGCCCTGCGCCGGCCGCAGCAGCACCGTGATGGTGCTCTCTGACTCGCTCAGCGGCGACGGCATGTCCCCGTAGTCAAAGGTGGGAGCTGCAAAGGGAGCAGGGGAGAGCAGGCAGGGTTGAGTCCTGATCCCCAGGGATGCGCCCGGGGCTGCCCCCCCTCCCCCCCCCCCCCCGGGG